TACAGACCACCAGTTAGACGAGAAAGATACTGTGTTTGCTTTCCATGGCTGCTTTAACAAATTACCACAAATTTTGTGGCTTGAAACAACACAGATTTATTATCTTTCAATTCTGGGGCCACAGTAACAGCAAGAGCTGTTTGGACACAGAAGTCCAAAATGAATATCACTGGGCTAAGATCAAAGTGTCAGCAGGGCTGTGGAGCCCTCTGGGAGCTTTAGGGAAAAATCCATTTGCTTGCCTTTCCCAGCATCTAAGCCAGTGGTTCGCAACCTTCTGGCCCTTTAAATACAGTTCCTCATGTTGTGACCCAACCATAAAATTATTTTCGTTGCTACTTCATAACTGTAATGTTGTTACTGTTATGAATTGTAATGTAAATATCTGATATGCAGGATGATCTTAGACGACCCCTGTGAAAGGGTCATTCGGCCCCCAAAGGGGTCATGACCCACAGGTTGAGAACCGCTGGTCTAAGCAGACTCGTTTCCTGGCTTGTGGTCTTTTCATCTTCAAAGTCAGCAGGGCAATACCTTAAATCTCTTTCAGACTGTCCCTCTGCAACTGTCATCACATCTCCATCCTTAACACTGACACTGCTGATTCCTCTTACAGGGACCCATGAAAAGACATCAGGCCCACCTGGATAATCTAGGATAATCTCCCAGCTCAAAATCCTTAACATAAACCATCTGCAGAGTTCCTTTTGCTGTGCAAATTAACATTCACAGATGTTGGGGTCTTGGTGGAGTCATTCTTTCTGCCACAGATACCTTGCTCAGAGGGCCCACATAGCCACTGATTCCCAGCTAGCAGGTGGAGGAGCCGCAGGAGGGGGTGGAGGAAGCATCAAAGCATTTATTACATTCCTGTCTGTGCCTGGTCCTTTTGCTCTTGCTGTTACTGTGGCCTGAGCACTGGGATTTTTTAAAGCTTCTCAGGTGGTTCCAGCATGCCCCCATATTTGAGAAACACTGCAACAAAGATATGCCCAGAGTTTGTTACTGTGATCGAGGTTTAAAATCTGCCCTTTGTGTCCTGAAGGAGAAGGGTCCAGAGCAGGCTGTCTCAACCCTGGGCGCACAATACTTTCAGCTGGGGAGATTTTTAAGAGGTTTAAAATCTGCCCTTTGTGTCCTGAAGGAGAAGGGTCCAGAGCAGGCTGTCTCAACACTTTCAGCTGGGGAGATTTTTTTTAAAAAAATCCTCACCAAGGATATGTTTGTATTGATTTTAGAGAGGAGAGAGAGAGAGAGAGAGAGAGAGAGAGAGAGAGAGAGAGAGAGAGAGAGAGAGAGAGAGAGAGAGAGAGAGAGAGAGAGAGAGAGAGAGAGAGAGAGAGAGAGAGAGAGAGAGACTGACTGATGTGAGAAACATTGATTGGTTGCTTCTCATACATGCCCTGACCCTGGATTAAATCCACAATCCAGGTATGTGCCCTGACTGGGAATCGAACCTGCAACCTTTTGATGTATACAAGATGATGCTCCAACCAATTTAGCCACACTGTCCAGGGCTGAAGAGATTAAAAAAAAAACCACACCAAAACTTTCTATTTTGAAATGAGAATACAGTTGCAAAATTAGACAGAAATTTCCTCAATACCACTCAAGCAGCTTCCCCTAATATTAGCAACTTATATACACATGGT